GGGACGCAAGTGGAGTATTTTCAATGAAAATATGGACTGCAGCTCCAAATCACAATCCACATCTACCTCGTACGTTTTTATTCTTTCTTTCTTTTTCCCCTTTTTAACATCAGTACAACCATGTGTTTTTTTAACGTTTCATGTTTTTTAACATACCTGCAAATTTTGCAAACCTACTGACAACCAGAATGGCTGATCTGATCTTTTTCAGGCACTAATTCTCAGGTTTTCTGTGTCAACATTTAAGAAAAGAAAAATAAATTTGTACTTGAAAAAAAAAAAAATCAGTTTTTCTGTGGGCCACTGTGCTTTGTAGTTATACACAGGTGGGCCTTGGGGTGGAAGACGTTAAGAACCCCTGATGTAAAGAATATGAAAATGAATGATACTGAAAATTCAAACAATATATTTTTGAACAACTAAATGCTCAAATATGAACATAATCAAAACGCTAAACATGGTTTATTGTTGCTTTTAAAAAGGTTCATTATTTGTTATAAGCACTTATCAATCCAAACTGCTCTGAGAAATCCAACAATGAAAGAAGCCTTGTGCATCTTTTATACACTGATAGGAAACACAGTAGCTCACAGAAAGCTCCAGTTCTACACACTGACATTTTAAAAAATATTTTGAATCATTTGTGAATAATATTTTAGCCCTTGAGTATTTTTTTAGAGATGTTAAGCCTGTCTGGTTCCTATGTCTAGCATTAAAAAAGGTTCTGACTAATATCGCATGGCTCTCTAAAGAAAGGAGTGAAAGTGCAGGTTCCATATCATCATTGAGGCGTTTACCAGTTTCATCTTGATTTGTAGCTCCATTTCCATCAACCCTGATCAAATCTCATCACAGCCTTCATGAGTGAAGAGAGCTTCTGAGTAAATAGTAGTTTTTGTCCAACTCCTCTTAATACAGACTTTTCCGTCTGCGCTGACAAGATATGAAAGCATCTTTATCTCTGTGCCGATTTTCCCCTGAAGTTTTTATTTTTATGGCCTTGTGACAAACCCACAGCAAAGCCTGAGCAAGGTCTGTATGAGGGAGGGAGGGAGGAGGGAGGGGTGAGGGAGGGAGGAGGCTGTTGAACTGAGGAAGGCAGAGAGGTGGGAGAGAGTGAGGGGGGAAGGAGAGAGTATGAGTAATAAAAGGAGAGAAAACACCGTTAGCAGTGTTATCAGGATTTGATGGCTCTCAAACCCAATTGAATGGATAAAAGAAGAGTTCAGCAAAAAGTAAAATTCATGGTCTTCTCCTCACCCCAAAAATGATAGATAAGCTAAAACATGGTTGGGTTCTGAAGTGTGCTTCTTGACTTTTGTGCTGGAAGGCTAACAAGCAATGCAAGATCATGTACATCAGTTAGCGTGCTAATTGGTAAAAAGTATTTTTCATCACTTCTTGGCTGCTTTAGTTTCTTAGCTGTAACTTCAGACACCAGACGTGTCTTGGCTGATCTGTTATATTTGGCATGAGGAGCAAATAAACAAAGAGGCAAGCAAACAAATTGAAGACCTACTTACAAAGTGACTGGTTCTCTAAAGGATGGGGGGAATGTGAGTGTAAGAAAATAAAGGAGGGACGGACAATGTAATCGATGTCCCTGCTGAGTCAGGTGATTGACGGGTCCAGCAGGAGGCCAATGGCCTGTTACTCCAGTGGTCATCAGGGAGAAAGCCACAGGTGGTGATGCGTCTACTGGCTACTTTGCAGTACACATGTAAATATAGATCTATCTCTCTGTCTGTCTGTCTGTCTGTCTGTCTATCTGTCTATCTATCTATCTGTCTGTCTGCCTGTCATCTGTCTCTTTATCCATCTATCTATATGTGTCTGCCTGTCTGTCTTTCTCTCTTTCTATCTGTCTATCTATCTATCTATCTATCTATCTATCTATCTATCTATCTATCTATCTATCTATCTATCTATCTATCTATCTGTCTGTCTCTGTCTGTCTGTTAAGCTATCTATCTATCTATCTATCTATCTATCTATCTGTCTTTCTGTCTGTCTGTCTGTCTGTCTGTCATCCTTTCTTTCTGTCTGTCTGTCTGTCTGTCTTTCTTTCTTTCTGTCTGTCTGTCTGTCTGTCTGTCTGTCTGTCTGTCTATCTATCTATCTATCTATCTATCTATCTATATCAGTTTTATAATGATCTGACGTGTTTACAGGTTTCAGAGACTCATAATGATTACATGGCGGTCATGTGACTCACTGTGATTAAGAGCAAATGGAAGCAGTTGCTATGGTGAGAGAAGGTCTCCCAGTTAGCCTCAATAAGACTGAGGTCACGTGCGCGTCCAGCTACATAATTTATCACTCGGCTTCAAATTATTACACTCCGTGGTATTTAAAGAACAACTCATGGTCAGCTCAAAGCCAGTTATCAATACTGCCCAATATTGCACCAAACAAATAGGTGTATAGCAAAGCCTCTCTTTCCAGGTCCTGTTCTCCTGTACAGTATGGCACAATCCAACACTGAGTATTTCTGACTCATAGGGTATTGAAATATACAGAAAAAAATCTGCAGCAAGTGTGGGTTCAATGGGTTATGGTACAGTTACGTTCCCTGACTAAAGGTACTGAGATGTGAATTTCAATGTACAATAATATAAATACACATACGATCACAACATTATGGTATATGATACGATACAGTTTGCAGCACATTAACAAAAAGTGTTATTGATTATGCAACTAAATATGTAATTAAAGATGCACAAAAGTGGTTAAGCAATTAAAGTAAAAACTCTTGACTACTAAGGGTTAATGTTTTTTAATGACCATTTCTGTTGGTCTGTTTGTCACATTACCACAGTGTAACAGGCAGCTAATAAACAAAGCAAACAAAAAAAAGTATGCTATTTTGTTTTGATATGACAGCATTGTATATGTGTGCATGCGCGTGTGTGTGTGTGTGTGTGTGTGTGTGGTATTATCGGCCTGCAGCAAGCTGGCCTGAGAAAGAGGGAAGGAAGCAGCTGAGTGCTGGTAAGAGCAACCAGAGCCCAATTCTTGGAAGCAAACCCAAGGCCTTCACTGAGTGGTGACAACGTTTGTGTGTGTGTGTGTGTGTGTTTGTAAGACTATGTACACTAGACTACATACTTTTGCATAGTAGAAACTATATAAAGTTATATATGGCTGTTGTGGGAGCAAAACCTTGTATGTCCATTTTTGATGTTTTTCAGTTTTTGACATAGTTTGAAAATGACGGTTGTCAATTTTATTGTGTGTAAACTTCATGAAAAATGGACTAAAAGAAACAGCCCAAAACAACTTGGCAAAAAAAGTCTGGTTGCATTGACTTACGTTGAAAGTAAAGTAGGTGTTTTCCTTCTTCTGTAAAATTACCATTTTGGAGATATGAGGTTTTCTTCCGACAGCAGCGATATGAACTATTATTACTGTTATTGTAAGTGCCATCTAGTGACCACACGGACAGTGTTACCCCAGAATATTCTGACTTCAACTGACTCTTAAAAATAACTCTAATCTATTCCAGTTTGTGTTCTTCCAAGAACGTTCATAGAACCTTTTCAATATGTTTTTGTTATTAAAACCTTTAAAGGTTCTTTATTTACAAAATTGGTTATCCAAAGAACCATCCATCAAAAGTGTTTTTTAAGGAACCATGTGTGTTTCTTCTGTGGCTCCAAACAACCCTTTTTTGACACCTCTACTGCTCAAACATTTGGAAACACTGTTAAAAATTCCAAATCGGTGTTTTCAGTGATGTAGATCAGTGACTGCAGATAAACATAAAATGTATTCTAATAAACAAATCCTGTGCAGCTTCACAGAAACTTTAGATGTGTCCAAAATGATGAACATCGCTGTTGATAATTCCACAATAAATGAAAAAGATATCAATGAATAACCAAGTTCTAATAAAATGAATCCCACAATGCCTTGTTTATGAAAAGTGGTGTTGAAATGTTTGCAAAGTATTATCAATTAATAACTTCCTGAAATACTGAATAGAACATCTAAGAATAGCTTAGAATATTTAGTTTTTTAACTTTACGGTGAGAACAGAAGGAAAAAAAAACCTTTTACAATCATTAACCTAACAACATTTAATTCAAAGTCACAAGAGAAGTTGCTTAGGGCCCCTGAGCCACTACATATATATATATATATATATATATGTAGTACTACATATATATATATATATATATATGTAGTGGCTCAGGGGCCCTAAGCAACTTCTCTTGTGACTTTGAATTAAATGTTGTTAGGTTAATGATTGTGAAATGCATGTGCTAGAATGAATGAATTCTCATCTGTTTTCACAAAATAAGATGCTTAGATGCTAAGACCTCAATAGGATGTCACTAAAGACGTCCAAATGGTCAGCTCTGGTCGTATGTCCACACAATGTAAAGAGAAGTTGTTATGTTCCCATGAATAAATAAATGAATTCATTTATTAATAAATGTTTAAAAAAGTGTTTTTTTTATTTTGATATGACAGCAAAGACTGAAAAAGTAATGCGTTTAATCGACTTAATTCAAATGTGTCCATTATTTCTATGTGAATTATATATATTGCATGAACACAATCAGTCACTGCCAGAAGTGAGTTGAAAGGCCAAACTGTGTTGATTGAATGTCGTCACTTAATTTGAATCATTTAAATTCAATGCATTACTGTTTTCATTATGTGTGTGTGTGTGTGTGTGTGTGCGTGTGTATGTGTGTGTGCGTGTGTGTGTGTGCGCGTGTATGTGTGTGTGCGTGTGTGTGTGTGCGCGTGCACTTGCATGCGTGTACGTGCATGTGGCGCAGACAGTGTGGGGGCCACGGCGAGGCAGAGACAGATGCTGTAGCGCTGATTAGTGCGGGGTTAAGACCGTTAAAATAAGCAGCAGAGTGCTGACATGGTGCCCTGAATACTAGCCCCTCCCCTCTGGAACACTCTTACCTTATCTCACACTCCTCTCTCACATGCTTACGTCCACCTCTATCTACTTCCTTCATTCTCTCTCTCTCTCTTCTTCCTCCAATGGTTCCTATCGTACCTTCTGAGGGGGAGGAACTACGGGGCAACAGAAAACACATTCAACAGGTCTGGTCTTGTCTCCTTTGGAAACCCCACAAGCATATACACGAGCAGAAGATGGAGGGGTTGGGTGAGAAATAGAGAGAGAGAGAGACAGAGAGAGAGAGAGAGCCTGTTGCTATAGTAACCTGAGCAGCATTGGTGCCAGTGGTGTAGAGGCTAATTCTGGGCTGGGCTAAACCTGCAGAGAGAAACAGAGAGAGAGAGAGAGAGAGAGAGAGAGAGAGAGAGAGAGAGAGAGAGAGAGAGAGGAGGAACTGACCCCAGCCATCCCATAATGCACCGCACGACATGCTACTTACCCGCCTTGAGTCGATTTTGCTGTCCCCAGGCTGCTCGCAGTTTCGTTGACGTCTGAGGTGGACAAGCGGAGAGGCGTATAGGAGGGAAAAGTGCGAGACTCAAAAGACAAGCAGGTGAGTGACAGTTACCCTTCATTGGTCAGCTGCTTGTGTCAATATAGTCCTTGTTTATAGAATCTATTTCTTATTTTTTTTTTTTTTACATTCTGACTTGTCCCTAGATTTATAACTCTAGAACTGGTTTCTATGGTTTCTATGGTTTCTGTTAACCAACGTTAAAAGGGGTTTGATTTTCAGCATCATTAGATGGTCCTAAGAGCAGAAAGTTTGATCCGCGTTCATGTCTTCTGGTTGTCTTGCCACATCATTCATTGCCTAACACGTTCATATTTCTCTCCAGCTTGCTGTAAAACATTTGCATGCGCTGCTGATTGCTTTTGAAGAACACGCGCTGTTAGTAAAGTAGTCTGGCTTGCACAAACATGCTTGGTCACTCGGGAAATGACATCTAAAGCCACTTTAAATTTCTTCAACTTTTAAACGTACCTCTTTTGCAATGACTGACCAGCATGTATGCAGTATTTGATCATTGCTAAGAAGGTACTCGGTTGTAAGCATGTAATCTGTTGAACAAAGAGGAATCACAGGGAGGAGGGACAGTGCCCTGGCCATTACACGGTTACAGCATAAACCAGCAACCTTGTGTCAACTCTGTACTGATGAAGAAACTATTTCTAAAGACTGTTAGCCCTTGGGACGTTGCATTGGGTTCCAGGTCAGTGGGACAGTTTGTCATTTCGTTGGTTTGTCAGGATAACTGTGTGCAATGTCCTCTTTGGCATGTTTTAAAGAAGTGCGGGTAAAAAAGTGGAACTAGGTTATGAACAGCTGTCAAGTGGGGCAGCACTTTCAATGCTGAAGCGATGGCAAAGGATTATTAGCTGTGTTCTAATCTTGGCATGTTTCTTCCGTGATAATCGTGGACCTGCGAAGAGGACGAGGGGGCAGGTGCTTCTCGTCCACTTGCAGTAAGGCTTTAGCAATTCAGCAGCTGACCTCATGCGTCCCACAATGCAGGGTTCAGCACCCTGGACTGGCCTCACCCTCTGTAGTGTGAATTCACAGCCAGGCTGCAGTAATTTGCAGGCCCCTGACAGCCCTCCATTTCTCTGAGCGGAGACTCCATGGTCAGGCTCATAAAGGAAGGGGTGAGTGGGTTCAAGCAGGTTGCCAGACACGTAGCATTTATGCCACAGATTGCAAAAACTTTCAGAAGAACATTTTGAATGGTTAAGAACATTTCCCTAGCTTATTTTGGGAGTAATAGGTCTGAAAATACCAGACCAAATCAGTCATTGCTGCAATTTTTTAGACGTATGTTTATATTTCCAACAAAAAATTAAGCATTATTTATCAGTGGCCAGTTAGCGAGCTAGCTAGATATATGACAAGAGTATAATGATAAGGAAGACATGCTGACAGCAAAACAGAAGATAACACTGAGTGAAAAATCTGCTGCTGGCTAACCTATTTAACATTACTGTGAACTTATTCTACTTGGCACTAGCCTAGTCTGGGATAGAATCTAGTCTTACATAATCAAATATTGACCCTTATTACGAACACAGCACTTTAAACCTCTTGACTGTCACTCCTTTTTTTACAAATGGCATAATGAAAAAAAGGGGGCGCTGCTCTAACATACTTTGGGCTACCTTCATTATCTTGGTCTAACTTGAAAGACAATACTATCAGGGTCTTTTTACAACCATCACAATCATTGTTTGAATTAGTGACACAGAGTAACAAAGGCAAGAATGGAGGAGTTTATGTCCACCTTACTCATAGATTTCCAAACCAATCACTGCCCATTCCTCTAGATCAGAGGTTGGTAACCCAAATGTTAAGAAGAGCCTTTTTTTACTTTCAACAAAAATCAAACCACCTTGGGAGCCACAACATTTAATGTCCATTTTAAATATGACTCAGTATGGGCTAATGTACTAGTATAGGATAAAAATATAATATAAATGAAAACACAGACTAAACTTTAAGCTTTAAACTTTAAACTTTAAGACTCTGCATTAAGCTTTAGCTCATGCTATAGCTGCTTTTCTTGCATCTCCAGCAGGAAACTTTACCACAAAAGTAGAACAGTGTCTTGTAAAATGTCTCTCAACATTTCTTTTTTAATGAGGCTGAAGTCGCTTCTCATTCACCAGCTTCTTGTTTGAATTGTCCCGTTCCACCTTAAATGGTGCCTTAGGAGCCAGAATGTAACTGCTGCACCATTTAAGGTGGAACGGCGAAATTTGAACAAGAAGCTGAATAAGAAACTGACTTTAGCCTCGCAACTTTTTAGTGTTTGCGTTTCTCGTTGCAGATTAAACGTATCAGGAAACCAGTTGGAGTGATTATAAATGCAAATAAGTCCATTTGTCACCAAATAATCGATGCTTATTTTTTGTCTGTATTGTTATGGTGACCAGCAGTCTGTGCACCAGTCTTCAGGGTTAAAAGTTGATGAATTGGGAGATAAGCGTTAGATTAACTCCAGCATTTCAGACCATTTATTATTAAACTGTGTTAGAACAATCAGCAGAGCTTTATTTGGAGTGCTGGATGTGACTCTGAAGCCACATGTTGCCGACCCCTGCTCTAGGTTCACTAGCATACTTCACCTTACAAACACAACTGAGCTACATCACAAGCCTTATTTTGCAGATTTATCACTGTATTGCTGGATGATTTGATGCATAAAATTGATATAGAAAAAAACAAAAGTGTATGATGGAAGTGTGCTGGCAGCAGTACAGTGACCCAGAAAAGATGACAGAAAGGGTTCTTTGGAATCCCTTTGGTTTCCCAAGCACCTTTCAATGGAAACCCCTGAACTGAAACCATTCAGTGGAAAGATTCTTTAGCAAACTTAGTGTTTCTTCAGTAACGTCACTCCAAAAAATCCTTTTTGGCACCTTTATTTTTATGCATGCATGTATCCCCTTCCATGCATGCACCTTTGGGGAAGCATTTTGTGGCTCGCAGGGCCCATACCGTGTTGGGCGCCGTATTCAGGAACATGAATTTGTCCAGGCGACTAAAAAAATGGTCTTTTGGAGAAGGAAAGAGGATGTGAGGGAGAGGAAAAGGTGAGTCAGAGAGAGAAGATATTGAAAAGTGATTGAGTGCCAGGCAGCGTGAGAGGAGAGTTGTTGGGGGGGTTGCTGAGTATGTCGTAAAATTGGTGGGAGACTGAAGAGAGATAGCGGATCCACTCAGCCATGTGGTCCCAGTTCGGCTTACACCACTCTGCCAATCAGCAGCAGAACAGAGTTCCCCGCTGAAAAGCAGCTACCGCCATGAACGGTGCTCGGGGAGAGAGGCTGTAATCAGCCAGGCTGCCGTTCCGCACTGGTAGGGAACTTATGGCTGGGCTATTCAGTTTCTCCATCTCAAAACAGCAGAGATCAGGCAGGTTATCACTCCACATGTACAAGAGAGGAAGGATCTTTATTATGCTTGTACATAACAATACAGTTGAGATGTTGAACGAATATTTGCTTACATTTTGGCACTACCTCTTATCTGTTTATTGAACAATAGTTTGGTAAAAATCAGATTTACATCATTTTCCAAATGTAGTCGATCAGCCTTATTGTCTGAAATATGTTCTGTTAGTTTTGGCACTTTCCATTGGCTCATATTACCTTTTTAAAAAAACTGTATTCGAACTTAAAGATTAAAATTAGCTTGTAAACAATTACAAATACATTTAAAATGTCTGTATCCACCTTTAATATGGTGATTTTGGGCTTTTCCACTCTGTTAGAAAGAAGGTTCAGTGCAGGTACATTTTTCATTCATCAAGGTACAAACAATGTAAATGTTCCCTCAAAGGCACAACAGTGTTTTTTAGGTCCAATTGTGAACTTTACACAAGTTGCTCCAGGTGAAAAGTACAGATTTGTATCTTTTCATAATCTAATATTTTAAAATGGAACAATAAAATAAAAAGCCTGAAGACACGACTTTACTTGAAGGGTGTCTATATAACACATTCATGACAGCTTACATAAATACTTATGAATGAGTGTTTATGAATGTTAAGAAGGAACATTTATAAAACATACATGTTTACATGATATTAATATGGACTACTATATCATTTTACTGAGAGACATTATACAAAAAGTATATTATTTACAGTGAATTGCCTCATATCTAGACAGCCAAATTAAAAAATGACCTTGCTTATTAATTATTTCTTCTTGATCATTGTGTTTTGTTGTTCTTTCTTCTGTTTACTCTATTCTTGTATTGTTGAGGAAAATGTTATTTATCCTCTTGGAGTTAAATGCTAGCACTGTTATACCACTGATTAATTAAGACTTTAAATACTTTTGATATTTATTTTATCTTTAGTGCTGTTCTTCTTTGCTTATGGTTTGGAGAAGGCCCGAGTATAATTTTGCATTGGGTATCCCATTTAATGAACACTCTTTGACATTAAATATTGCACTCTTATGCCAAGGATTCATAAATTCTGTTTTGCCTTTACCTTAAAAGTGATGGAAGTTAACCAGACTGAAATGCATATTATGTGGATCTTCAAATTGCATTGCAAAGTAACTGCTGACATTCATGTGGCTGCCCAGCATCTACAGGAAATGAATGAGTTATGGCCCAGTAAAATTCCTTTATGCAGCAAGTCCCATCAAAAAACTAAGAATCAGTTGAATGATTGTTGCTAGCATATTTGAGTAATTTACTATACTTATGTAAGAAATCCTTAAAAGAAAAATTAAAAAGAAGTCAAAAGTATAGGTGAAATGTGCCTGAGTGTTAAAGCAAAGGGGTAATGCAAGGTCATTTTTTATTTTGGCTGTCCAGAAATGACGCGTTTTACTAAATATAACATTTTTTTTTATAAAAGTGGACTTTACATAGGAAAATTATATCTCAGTAAAATTACATAGTAGTTCATATTAATATCATGTACCACATGTATACTTTATGAATATTGATTTTTATCATCCATTAAGATGTTATGAATGTGTTATGTAGACACCCTTTAATTAAAGTGTTACTGTTTGCACAATGCTAAGTGGTTTACA